TAATCCATAACATACCTTTCTATCAAAATTATCTAACATTATCAAGCTGAATCTTCTCATATTTTATTACCATTTTCTAAACTATAGTGAATAAACTGTGATAATGTGAGAAATGTTGAAGGTGTCTGAATAAATTTTGGTTTGACTATCTATTTGATAAATGAAGTTAACCAACTAACATTATACATACCCTTTTGGTTTCTGTACCCAATATTAAAAAAAAAAAAAAAATGCAATAAAAATATCGGTATCGGTACTCGGTATCGGCAAGTACCAAAAATAAAAGTATCGGTATCGGGCGAGTACTGGAAAAAGTGGTATCGGTGCATCCCTAATATAAATCTAAAATTTTTCTTTAATATATACATGTATGTGTGTGTGTATTTATATATACAGTACACAGACATATAGCATGTAAACAAACTTTTATTTTGAATGCAATTAATCACGATTAATCGTTTTGCAGCCCTAGATTGAAAGACAAATTGAAGGATAGAAAGAAAGAAATATAAAAAAAAGAAAGATAAAGCTAGAAAAAAAGAAAGAAAAAGTGAACAAGACAGATAAGATAAATCAAAAGAGAAAGAAAAAGAAATAAAGATAGAAAAAGTGACAAGAAAGCTAGAAAAAGGATGGAAAAGATGCAGAAAGATTGAAAAACAGAAATAATGAAAAAGAAAAAAAGAGACAAAGAATTTCTTATAATTATTATTAGTCAATCGCAAGCATTTTTCAACCACTAGGTTGATTAACTGACTCACTTAAATGATTCTTTCATTTGTTCACTCACGCTATCTGCGGTGGTTGAGTTAATTGATTCACTGATTGATTCTTTGATAATTTCATTCACACTGTCTGTGGTGGTTTTCTTCTGTCTGTAACTGACTCACTGATTCAATCGCTGATTCATAGGTTCACTCACGCTCTCGGCGATGCTTTTCATCTGTATATAATTAATTCACTGATTGGTTCATTCATTATTTTGTTTATTCACGCTCTTGGCGGTGGTTTTCTTCTGTCTGTAACTGATTAATTAATTCACTGACTGATTCATTTGTTCACTCACGCTGTCTGCAGTGGTTTTCTTCTGTCTGTAACTGACTCACTGATTCATTGGTTCAGTCATGCTCTCGTCTGAGGTTTTCTTTGTCTGTAATTGATTCACTGACTCACTGATTGATTGCTTGATTTGTTCACTAATGCTCTCTGTGGTGGTTTTCTTCTGTTTGTAACTGACTCACTGATTCATGGGTTCACTCACGCTCTCGGCGGAGGTTTTCTTTGTCTGTAATCGATTCACTGGCGGATTGATTGATTGATTGTTCACTCACGCTCTCGGCGGAGGTTTTCTTTGTCTGTAATTGATTCACTGGTGGATTGATTGTTCACTCATGCTCTTGGCGGAGGTTTTCTTCTGTAACTGATTGATTGATTGGTTCACTCACGCTCTCTGAGGTGGTTTTCTTCTGTCTGTATCTGCGCAGCTCCTCCTCCAGCTTCAGTAACTGGTTTCGCAGGTTGTTCTTCTCTTCCGTCAGTCGGCTAACGAATCCCGTGAGCTCTGCGTTATGTCTGAGTAAACGCTCATTCAGCAGACTGGACGATCCTCCTGCCAGCAGCGCGGCGCTCTACACACACACACACACACACACACACACACACCATACACACACACTTATATAATCAAACATGTGTTTACAAAGGTCAATTCTATGAATAAGCCACATTGTGTTACACACGTGTCAATGTTGTCACTCACCTCCGGGAGAGCAGAAGGGGCTGATGGGATATGCTGTAACAGTGACATCACATCCTGTACATTACTGTGCAGCCATGCTAGACTGTCCCGGTCCGGCGCTTCTCCAGATAACCTGCACACACACACACACACAGGTCATGGGCTACAACACCTGCACAAGTAGCTTTTTTCTTCAGTTTTTTCTTCAAGAAACCGGGCTCCTTAATGATTCAGAAAATGCAAGTCAATGGCTACCGTCACTTTGAGAGTCAAGAAAAGCATCTATAGGCAACACAAAATTAAACCCTGTGGCTCCTGATGATATATTGAGGTCTTATGAAGCGAAACAATCAGTCTGTGCAAGAAACTTATTTACAGCATTATAACCTGTAATCCGGTTTATGAACGAATCATTCTTTTGAACTGGTTCTTTTACTTGAACTAGTTGAACCAGTTCATCAAATCGGACTGAAGCATCCGAATCAGTTCGTGTCTCGAGCAGCTCAGATCTACAAGTTATTCAATCACACTCACTTTCAGACGCCTGACAGTCACTCCGACTGGAAATGAGCTGAAACAGCAGCGTATCTGATAATGAATGAACTGATTCAGTGGTCCAGTCCCTCCAACAGTCACTAAACTGAGGAAACAGTTCGACTCGGACCGGAGAGCCGCTGACAGTGTCGGGGAACGCAGTTACGTAATCAGATTACTTTTTTCAAGTAACTAGTAAAGTAACGCATTACTTTTTAATTTACAAGAGAATATCTGTAACAGCAGTTACTTTGTTTCTATGTATTGAGTGACAGCTCTGGTGTTGCCATGGTGACAGAAATCAGGAGTGAGTGCAGAGCGTTGTGTGTGAACATGATCTTACTGTAGTTCTAGACTAAATATCAACATGTGTTTACTCAAAAACACATTCAGCGTTCCTCAAAATCAATAAAAACAGTCAAATGTAAACTCAGCATATTATACAAACCCGCAATAATTAAATATGTTAAATGAGACAAATATGATTTATGTATTTAATCCCATTTTATTAACTAATGTCGTTGCTACTGACCTTCGATGATCCAATTCAACCATACTAAGCAAAAATGACATTTGTGTATAATTTGTGTTATTGCTGAATAGTGTTGAACTTTCTTCTCCTGCGTCATATTCTTCATGTGATTAGTTTGAGCTGCGCCCTCTACTGTACAGACGTGAATTTACATGTCCTTCAGCTTGAGCCGTATTCATTTCACTTTTGGTGTGAAAGGGCTTTTACGTTTGTAAAAGAGGAACTTTTTTTATATTAAAAACAAACAAGCAAGCCCCGCCCAGATTTAAAAAGTAACCCAAAAGAAACGTAACTCATTACTTTCCATAAAAAGTAACTAAGTAACGTAATTAGTTACTTTTTTTAGGGAATAACGTAATATTGTAATGCAGTACTTTTAAAAGTAACCGCTGATATGCGCATGTGTGAACCGAACACTTGAATGAAGGGGCCAAATGAAAGTTTTTATGGCTTCTCATTATTTATGTAAAAAGATGAGCTGATGAAGACTAGTTTATTCACTTTATACGCTTTAGACATCTAAAGAATCCTCGTTTGTTAACGCGTTAACGCACGTTTGCTTTAATTTGTTTTCAAGATCTGAGGTAATCTATCTATTGTTGCTTTCAGTATGGCTATAAATGTCACATAAAATGATATTCAAACTCACATAAGACACGTTTAACTTTGAATAAAGCACATAATCAGCTGAGATTATCTACTGTCATATAGTTTGCATGTTGTTGTTCCAGCCGCGACGTCTCGGAAATAGAAACTGTTTCTAAATTACAAATTTTGCATGTCGCCGTCGCGGCTAGTTAGGACAAAAACTCTGATTAACATGAAAAAGATAACTTTTATCTGAGGAAAAAGTCTCCTGCATCTTGGATGGCCTGAGGGTGAGTAAATTAACAGTTAGTTTGTATTTTTGGGTGGACTATAGGGCTGGGCGATATGGCCAAAAAATTATCACGATAATTTTCTTTCATATCAGTCAATATCGATAATGATCACAATAATTGTTTTTCCTATCAGTAGATATCGATAATTATCACAATAATTTATTTTCATATCAGTCTATCGATAATTATCACAATAATTGTTTTTTATATCAGTCGATATCGATAATTATCACAATAATTGTTTTTCATATCAGTCGATATCGATAATTATCACAAACATTTTTTTTCATAGTCAATATCGATAATTATCACAATTTTTTCATATCAGTCGATATCGATAATTATCACAATAATTGTTTTTCATATCAGTCAATATCGATAATTATCACAATAATTTTTTCATATCAGTAGATATCGATAATTATCACAATAATCTTTTTTCATAGTCGATATCGATAATTATCACAATAATTTATTTTCATAGTCAATATCGATAATTATCACAATAATTTTTTAATATCAGTAGATATCGACAATTATCACAATAATTTTTTTTCATAGTCGATATCGATAATTATCACAATAATTTATTTTCATAGTCAATATCGATAATTATCACAATAATTTATTTTCATAGTCAATATCGATAATTATCACAATAATTTTTTTTCATAGTCGATATCGATAATTATCAATTAGTTTTTCATATCAGTCAATATCGATAATTATCACAATAATTTTTTCATATCAGTAGATATCGATAATTATCACAATAATTGTTTTTTATATCAGTCGATATCGATAATTATCACAATAATTGTTTTTCATATCAGTCAATATCGATAATTATCACAATAATTTTTTCATATCAGTCGATATCGATAATTATCACAATAATTTTTTCATATCAGTTGATATCGATAATTATCACAATAATTTTTTAATATCAGTCGATATCGATAATTATCACAGTAATTATTTTTTTCATGTCAGTCGATATCGTTAATTATCACGATAAATTTTTTTTCATATCAGTCAATATCGTTAATTATCACAATAAATTTTTTTTCATATCAGTCTATATCGATAATTATCATGATAATTTTTTCATATCAGTCGATATCGATAATTATCATTGCTTTATTTCTTTCAAGTTTAAAGCCAGATTTTTGCTCCAAAGTCTTAATAGAAAAAAATAATTTCTTAGTTCAGCACGTTCTAATGAGTAATATTGTTTCAAATCAAGAAAAAGGTTTGTGTTGCCTGATAATATTAATAATATAACATTTTTTGTCTCTTAGAAATACACATTTGATAGTAGCTGGAGTTAGGATGCAGATTTATGTTCATTATCAAAATCAGTAACATCTGTAAAAATTGTAGCAATCTAATTTTTATATGGTGAAATTTAATTATTCTGACTGTTTGAGGTGTTTTTTATTTTTATTTTTAACCATTGGTTTTCCATAGTAGCATACATTTAGATCATGATAATCACATAATTTGTGATAGATACATCAATCACAAAACGTAACATGGCTTTAGGTATTTGTATGAAAAACAGTAGTCTAAATATATTTAGTATAAACGCATAAACGCTATAGCTTAATCTTAACTTGTTTCGTTCCGCCTTTGCCTCATAAACATTATATCGAGCATTAATCGAACTCTCGTTATTATTATTACGTTATCGATTTATCGCCCAGTGGTAGTGTAGCATCTCTTTAACAGTGTTGTCGTACCTGTCTGGGCTTTCGCTGGTCAGGCTGTTGATCTTGGCGGCGATGAGTTGCAGTCTGCTGAGGATGCTGTCCATGTGTTTGGGCTCTGACCTCTGACCCACACGCAGAGCGTCTCCCGTCCGCAACACCCAGTCCCGGGTTCGATCCTCTGATCCAGCGCTCTGGTTGCTGTCCTCCAGCTGTCTCACGGTCTCCTGCAGTATGTCTCGCTCTCTCTCCAGCCTCCTGACGCTGTCTCTCTCTCTCTCCAGCTCCGTCTGCAGCTCGCTCGCCCGTCTCTCCAGGCCGGCGCGTGTCGCCCGCAGTGCATTCTCCTCGTCCCGCTGTCGTTTGCGCTCCAGCTTGTGTCTCTCCAGCTCCTCCATCATCTGCAGCACCTGCGTCTGCTTCTCGGCCAGCTGCGTCTGCAGGAGAGACTCCACAGAAACCACGCCGGCCTCCACCTGCACACACCAACACCTGTCACTCAACTCTGAGAGCCTTTGTGAACGAGGGATTATACACATTTGTGCACTTTATTACTTAATATTAATATATATACGTTTTTTAATAAGCCATGTGTGAGTTCACATTCTATTGATTTGTGCTGAAATGCAAAAGTAAATTTCTCAAATGACAACCATCATTACAATTATAATTTTGAGCAAAAATATTTTTTATCAGTTTAACCATTATACAGCATGACGAAAATGTGACTAAAATTTGATTGACTAAAACCGGACTAAAATGCTCATGCATTTCATTGACTTAAACTTGACGAAACAAAAACAGGACTAAGGTTGACTAAATGTGACTCTGGAGCACAAAACCAGTCATAAGGGTCAATTTTCTGAAATTGAGCTGCTTTTGTGCTCAAGGGTCACAAATATGATATCTAAAATGTACATTTGAGTAAGACTAAATTAAAAACGGCTGCCAAAATTAATACTGCTGTACGGTTAATTAATAATAATCTTATTGCTAAAATATGGTACAGGGTCAAATATTCTAAATTATATTATTTATATATTACTTTAGTCATTTATATAAATATAAACAATACATGTATATATTATAAAATATGATGTCTATACAAAACATGTAAATAATTACAAGTAACAAATTATTACAAGTAACAAATAATGAATTAAATATAAATGTTATAATATGAATATCATTTTTGTAAAAAAATAAATAAAAATACTATAAATATAAACTCATTGCAATGACCTTGTGTGCATTAAGACTGATATGATAATTTACAAATATAAAGATAATTATAAAATATATATATATATATATATATATATATATATATTTATAAATGTTATCATATATAATAAAATTTATACATTTTATTTATTAAACTGAATTTATTTTTAATTACTAATTTACATAAATGCATAACAATATAATAAATTATTTGTATTGTTACGTTAATATGATTTTATTCAGATATTATTTATTCAGATATTTTATGATATATTATTTTATTCAAACAATCTTGTGTGCCAGATGTCATGATTTAATCTTTCACAAGTGAGTGTATCACTAAGCGTGTGTGTGTGTGTGTGTGTCTTATTGCTAAAATGTCAAGTTTCCATTGACTAAAACTAGACTGAAATACTTCAGGTTTTCTTCGACTAAAACTAGACTGAAATGTTGAGACTTTTTCCCTCAGTTTCACAAACAAGGCTTAAATGTAAGTCTGAGCCGTTTCAACTGAAAGAAACTTGCACTGACTGATCTTAAAATATATCAGTGCCTCTGTTTTGTCTCGAGAGGCACACCAGTAATGTTTTTTCTAAGGCACGTTAATAAAAATTACTTAAATGCCCTAATTGAACTATTGCTTAGTCCTGGCTTAGTCTAAGCCCTGTCTGTGAAACCAGGCCCAAGTCGACTAAAACCTGACTAAAACTAAATAGGATAAGGTTGACCAAATATTATAAAAAATAACAAGGACATTTAACACGGGACTAAGACTGAAATTGAAAATAGCTGACAAAATGAACACTAATTCACACCTGCAGCTGTGAGGAGACGCTGAGCTCCTGCGCCTGCTCTCTGAGCCGAGCTGAAACCTGTCTCTCTTTCTCCAGAGCGCTCGACAGCTCCTCCAGAGACAGCTTAAGATCCTGCAGAGACGCATCCAATGTTTTCAATTAAAACACTTCTCACTTTGCTTCTACATGTTACTCATAACCAGTGTAACGCATTACAAGTAACGCGAGTTACGTAATCAGATTATTTTCCCAAGTAACTAGTAAAGTAGCTAAAGTAGTTTATTTAAAAAAAGCACATAAGCATCAAGGCACAATACAAGTATCAAACTGTTATAGAATTAAGAAAGTGGGGGGGGGGGCTCCTCAGCGAAAACCTGGTATGCGTTGCACCTGCTGCCCTTTTATGCTCACGCTGTGATCAGCGGCAGCTGGATGCAATCATCGCATGCCAATGTCCATTGGCTCATTTAGTTTACACTCGAAGTAGATTGGTCTCTCGAAGCGAGATCCCAATTCGTCGGTCACGACATGACGTCTCCATTACCTCCTTCAGGGAACGAGGGTTACATACGCAACCGAGACGTTGCTTTTTTTAGAAAGTAACTCAAAATTGTAATGCATTACTTCCCCAGCACTGCTTATAACCCATCAATATACACAATATATTTTACCTCCACTTCTTCTCTCTCGGTCTCCTCCTTCCTGTCAGACTTGCATTTCTCCTTCTCGAAAGACCACTGCAGCTCTCTGGCTCTCTTCTGCTCGTGTGCCAGTCTGTCGTTCAGTGTGTCGACCTCTGCGGCCTTCAGGGAGACCTCAGCCCTGTCTCACACACACACACACACACACACACACACACACACACACACAACACACACACACACACACACACAAAAACACACACCAGCTTTATTCAGTCCTTAAAGCAGCTCTGTATGCAGTTTTGTGTATGTTTGTGACTTTGAAGGCCCTACAGTTAATAAGTGAGTGGTAAATATATGGCTGTCATAATTACAGTAAATAGCTGTACGTGTGCATTTGTCGTGCCAAAGAGCAATCCGCCCTTTTGACAAACAAAATGAGGCAAGACAAAAAATAATCTGAATGTTAAAGCTAATGCTAATGTTATTTGCTTTAGGAATAGCGAACATAAAATATCCCAGACAGATATCAAAATCACTTACAAACGCTTATGAATATACAAAAATTAATATTCAAAAATATTTAAATATTAATTGTATTTTTTTTATATACAAATATTGCTCTATCCTAACAAACCATACATCAATGGAAAGCTTATTTATTCAGCTTTCAGATGATGCATAAATCTCAATTTCGAAAAATTGACCCGTATGACTGGTTTTATGGTACAGGGTCAAATATTCTAAATTATATTATTTATATATTACTTTAGTCATTTATATAAATATAAACAATACATGTATATATTATAAAATATGATGTCTATACAAAACATGTAAATAATTACAAGTAACAAATTATTACAAGTAACAAATAATGAATTAAATATAAATGTTATAATATGAATATCATTTTTGTAAAAAAATAAATAAAAATACTATAAATATAAACTCATTGCAATGACCTTGTGTGCATTAAGACTGATATGATAATTTACAAATATAAAGATAATTATAAAATATATATATATATATATATATATATATATATATTTATAAATGTTATTGACTCTCAGGATTTATCCCGTGAGCCGGTTTGTGGCTGTTATTATCCAGACTGGGAGACGAACCCTAAACACACACATACAGATCACACAGATGAGATGTGTTTGAGCTCATCAGCAGAGTGTGCCTCAGTGTGTGTGTGTGTGTGTGTGAGTGTGTGTTACCTGAATGTATCACTAAGTGCGTGCGTGTGTGTCTGTCTGTCTGTGTTCCCTGAGTGTATCACTAAGCGCGCGCGCGCGTGTGTGTTACCTGAGTGTATCACTAAGCGCGCGCGCGTGTGTGTTACCTGAGTGTATCACTAAGCGCGCGCGCGTGTGAGTGTGAGTGTCTGTCTGTGTGTGTTACCTGAGTGTATCACTAAGCGCACGCGTGTGTGTTACCCGAGTTTATCACTAAGCGCGTGTGTGTGTGTTACCTGAGTGTATCACCAAGCGCGCGCGTGTGTGTAACCTGAGTTTATCACTAAGCGCGCGTGTGTGTGTGTGAGTGAGTGTGTGTGTGTGTGTGAGAGTGTGTGTGTGTGTGTGTGTTACCTGAGTGTATCACTAAGCGCGTGTGTGTGTGTGAGTGTGTGTGAGTTTGTGAGTGTGTGTGTGTGTGTGTGTCTGTCTGTCTGTCTGTCTGTGTGTGTGTGTGTGTGTGAGTGTGTGTCTGTCTGTCTGTCTGTCTGTGTGTGTGTGTGTGTGTGAGTGTGTGTCTGTCTGTCTGTCTGTCTGTGTGTGTGTGTGTGTGTGAGTGTGTGTCTGTCTGTCTGTCTGTCTGTGTGTGTGTGTGTGTGTGTCTGTCTGTCTGTGTTACCTGAGTGTATCACTAAGCGCGTGTGTGTGTGTGAGTGTGTGTGAGTTTGTGAGTGTGTGTGTGTTACCTGAGTGTATCACTAAGTGCGCATGTGTGAGTGTGTGTCTGTCTGTCTGTCTGTGTGTGTGTGTGTGTGTGTGTGTGTTACCTGAGAGTGTGTGTCTGTCTGTCTGTCTGTGTGTGTGTGTCTGTCTGTGTGTGTTACCTGAGTGTATCACTAAGCGCGCACGTGTGTTACCTGAGTGTATCACTAAGCGCGCGCATGTGTGTGTTACCTGAGTGTATCACTAAGCGCGCGCGCGTGTGTGTTACCTGAGTTTATCACTAAGCGCGTGTGTGTGTGTGAGTGTGTGTGAGTTTGTGAGTGTGTGTGTGTTACCTGAGTGTATCACTAAGTGCGCATGTGTGAGTGTGTGTCTGTCTGTCTGTCTGTGTGTGTGTGTGTGTGTGTGTGTGTGT